TGATTACTTATGATTGCAAAAAAAAAGAAAAAACTCCTCGTGAGCTGGTTTATAAATGGGGCAGAATGAACCCAGATGTCCAGACTAACAGGGTCAGGTCTCAGCCTCCAAGTGAGGTGCTCATCTGCATATTAACAACTGAACATCTCAAAGGGGTGTTGGGAGAGGCTGTAGCCAGAAAGACTGTTCTTGGAGCCACCCTTGACCTTCCATGGAGACCTGGAAGTCTGGTGAAAAGAGGGCTCAGGGAAGACCTTATTGCTCTCTAAAAGCAGCTGAAAGGAGGCTGTAGCCAAGGTGAGGGTCAGCCTCTTCTCCCAGGTAACAAGAGACGGGACAAGGGGACAAGTTGCACCAGGGAAGGTTCAGGTGGATATTAGGAAAAGAATTAGTCACTGAAAAAGTGGTTAAGCATTGGAACAGGCTCGCTAGGGAAGTGGTGGAGTCACCATCCCTGGAAGAGTTCAAAAACCACATAGACAAGGCACTTCTCAATACAGTTTAGTGGCCATCGTGTGATATTTGGTCAAAGGTTGGACTTGAAGTCCTTTCCAGCTTTAAGGATTCTGGGGGATTCCTTGGAATTGCCTTGCAGGCCAGCAGCTTCCCTGCAGCCAAACCTGCTCCCCAAAGAGAGATAAACAGATATTAAATCACAGGAAGGTTGAAGTATTTGCTCAAGATAATCCTGTGCAACGACGGAGATGATGGGAGCGACCCGATGTGGCAGCATCCAAGTGCAATTTCCAGTTAAATGAGGTAAAGCTTGGGTTTTTTTAAATATTGCAGAACACCAGCCAGGTAATAAATTAATCCCCTTCACTTTTCCTAAGTTCTTACCTTGGGGTGGATTCTGAAGCACATCCTGTGCAGAAACACTGCGTGTTTGTTCTGTGTGAGTAAGGGGGCAGTAAAACACGTCTCGGGGGACCGAGGGCTTCGAAACCAGCATCCAAGTAATCACAGACTGTAAGGATTTACTGGCTTCACAATTACAATCCCACAACCCCGTGAAAAGCCACAGTAAAATATACGAGTTAGCTCCGGTGTGCAGAGTTGCAAGGCTTTAAATTTGCGCAGGTACCGACGCCGGCTTCCAAACACGTAAATAAAAACTCAAACGCCTCCCTCAAAGTGCACCAGGGCCCTGGGGTGACATGGGACCTGTCCTTTAGATGTTAATTTTTATGAATGGTCTTGAGTTACTGTGGCACATGGAAAAGTCACTTTTTATTTGCATTCTCCTTATGCAGCAGCTTTTGATCAAGATTCTCGATGAAATCGCAGCTGACGGACGGTTTCCTTCACTGGAGAAGATTGAAGTCCAAAGACGTTGTTAGGATATATGACATAATTATTTTGCCTAATGCAAAAACATTCATTTTGATAGCAGTCCTAAATTATGGCTGCCTTAAAGGCAAATGCTTCAGTATATTAAGGATTTGAAGATTGGGTGATTAGCAGAGTAACTCTTGAGTTGGGAGGGCAAGCAAAGCTTGTGCTGGTCCATTACTTAACTCAGCACTGAACAACTTGCAAGTATTTAATCCTGTCTTTTTTTTAATTTTTTTTTAATTTCATGCATGTACTGCTCATTTTATGGGCTAAATATTTATTTGTTTCTTCCTTAATTAATATTCTTGTAGCTCTTTTATTTGTCACAGAATCATAGAATATGCTGAGTTGGAAAGGTCCCACCAGGATCATCGAGTCCAAGTCCTGGCCCTGCACAAAACACCCCAAGAATCCCACCATTCATCTCATATGTTCTTCATTTATCCTATTCATTGTATTTATGCTATTCATATTTTTTATATTATTTATTTCATGAATGATAGGTATACCCAGTAGAACTCTATGGGCAATGCAGAAAGTTTTAATAAAAATCAAAAAACTGGTATTTTTAATCTACTCAAAGTGAAAGTATTTCTATAACTAAATCTACCTCTGTAAGGTGAAAGGTGCAGGAACTTATTTTAAAAATATATTCATTAATTTTCAGTTAATGCTTACTAATAGCCCTATTTGATTTTAATATTACCATTGCTCTTATTTAATTCATTTGGCCCCTAGGACAAAACTGTGACCCTTTCAAAACACACAAGAGACAAAAAATGTCTCTGTAGCTTTATGACAACATAAAAGTAAATAATTTGATCTCTTCCTCTAGAATCTTGCTGCTCTGAAAAGACTTTTAAATCTATTTTACTTGCAGTCAGTGGTTAACTTTGGTGTGACATGGGAGTTTGCAATAAACTGATTTTGTGGTGACCTGCTCCTTCATTGCTCTCTGCTCCAGACTGGGAGAAAGATGGTTAAACACAGGAGCTGATGGAATCTCCTGAAATGAAATTTCATTTTCAGAGCAAGGCAGGGCTGCTCTGAGAGAGACAGATTTGTCTCTAAAAGGAGAATAAAGTTCTATTTGGAGTCAATGACTGCAGGCAGAAATAGGCACGAGGAACTTGGGTGAGGATTTAGTTGGGAAAAAAACCAAACCACAGAATCCCAGAATGGTTTGGGTTGCAAGGGACCTTAAAGATCATCTCATCCCACCCTCTGCTATGGGCAGGAACCCCTTCCACCAGCCCAGGTTGCTCCAAGCCCCGTCCAACCTGGCCTTGGACACTTCCAGGGATTCAGGGGCAGCCACAGCTTCTCTGGGCAACCTGTGCCAGGGCCTCACATCCTACAACAGCTTGGGTGATGTAGAGGTAAGAAGGAAATCCAGCAACACACCACTGAGGGGCTGAAAAGCTGTTCTCACTCATAAATGTGTTTATTTTTTATTTTTACAGGAAATGCACAATCTGAATGTTTTGTTTTCACTTGGGTTATGATTTAAGCATGCAATGGTATCAGCTGAGTGTCAGGTTTGTACTGGGATTCAGGGTAATATCTTTCCATTAAAGAAAGTGCAGCTTTGGAGCTGCTCCTTCACTGCTTTTCTCATTCTGTTTTCTGGGGTTTGTTGGGGTTTTTTAATTCATCAGAAAAATAGCAATGAAAGGTGGATTTAAAAGAAATAAGTTCATAGATAAAAAGCCACATGTGACAGACTTTCCAGATAAATGAAAAGAGAGAAAGATTTCAAAACCTTCTTATTATGAATAGCATTTTATGCAGCTGCTGTCACAAATACAGCTGTGCAAAGGAATTTTTACTTACCAGTAAACCTACAGTTTAAAGATTTATGCTGGAGTTGCAGCGCTCAGGGTCTGAGGCTTTCCACGAGGCAGTGAGATGGATTCTGAAGTCCTTATAAAGCCTCTGCAGAACATCATGTGCCTACCACCAATTCCTGAATTTAAGTTGCGTCTCAGAAACCAGCAAGAAACTCTGCATTTTTGGCACGTTTTCAATGACCGTCCTTGTTGTTATGGTAATGCTGTGGAAAAGACTCTCAGAAATCAATTTGTTGTTTGCATATAATTCCCCAAACTGAGAAAGAAGCTGCTGGATGTTGGGTGGGTGAAGGAGCTGCCACTGGAGAAGCTGCTGAGCTCAACTTCAGCCTATCAAATGTGCCAGCATTTAAAAAAAATCGATGAGCTTGGTCACACCACATCCACAGGGTGGGAGGGAGTGAAGGTGCTAAAGGCGTGGCTTGGATGATCTCAAAGGTTATTTCACAGCCTTTCTCTCAGAAACTGGGGTGCACAAATCCCAGGAAGAGCAGAACCACTGGAGGTTCTTGGTGGCTTCACGTGTAAGATGGTAAATTCGATAAATCAGGCAAAACTTGGGGCCAGGTGGGAAAGCAGCAAGATAATGCCAATGGGAATAGTCAAAGTTGAATTTACCAAGCCAAAATCTGTGCTGTAGGAAAAGTGGGAGGAACATTTACGCTTGTTAAAGTGTATAATTGTGCTGAACACAGGCAAAGAAACCACGGAAAAGCAAAAGCAGGCGTTGGCAGAGTGGGAATGACTGTACATGTGGAAGTCAGAGCATGTGCTGCATTCAGTGTGCCCATGAAAATCCCCAAACCACAGGATTTACTTCTAAACCTGGCAGAGGGAATAGAGTTTTCCAAACTGTGCTTGTCCAAAGCCTGGCAGCAACACAGGAATCCAAGTTTTAAAAACATACTAATTCTGACTGAACTCACACATTCGTGCCTATTGAAGTAGGAGAGATTACCCTGGGGGGAGCCAGTTACCTGCAGGATTTCCAAGATGAATGGATTGAATCCTGCAGAGAATAAATAGTATTTTCTGGTTTTTGGATGACATACTAATACCTGGGAGGAATTCAGAAGAGTATTTACAAAACCTTGAGGAAATTCCACCATGTTATAAAGCTACGCTTTAAATTGAACAAAAATAAGATTGCAGGCATGGGAGTTTTCTTTTTCTTCGCCTCCCTAAAATCAAGTTCCTTGCCTAAGTTTTCTGGATAAAGGCTTTAAAAGAGAAAATAAAAACTATGGAGCATGCATAAGTTCCTTGGTGTTTTACAAATTCTGTTGGTTTTATCCATGTTAAATGTTTCTTATGAAAGTTCCATATTATCATTGCTGTTTAGGTTGATGTCTTTTCTGATACAGGAGACATAAAATTTTTAGTGGAAAACAACAGAAAAATCCTGTAACTCTAACCTGGCATCCTTTCATTTGAGGTCATCCAGGACAACTTTATAGCATAATTTCCTAAAGGAAGAAGGTCTGTTGCTTCCTAAGACTGTAGGAGAAAAAAATCCCTGTCATTTGCCTTTCAGAATGTTATCAAAGTACAAAACTACATCTACATTTTAAAAAGGCTTGCAGTCCCATTTAGGAACTCAACTCCATGAGCATCTCTCAAAAATACTCTTGATGCAGATAGTAAATCATTGGTAAAAGAGAGGGGTGACTATATATTTTGGAGGCACTGGTGGGGATCAATCTTATTATTGCTGTTTTACTGTTGTAAAATTCCTTGTGGGCCATCAGAACACGTGTCTGTTGCATCCTTCCTTCCAGTCATCAACAAATTCAAAATCAACAAAATCAAAAAAGCTGGAGACAGAGAAGAAAACATGTTTATTTTGGAGAAGAGTGAATTTCTGTGTGGGTTTGAAGCCATTCAAGCTTCACTGAGCAGCGTTACCTGGGCAGGAGATGCTGTTTTCCAGGAGGGACTTCTAGTAGTGTCACCAAGGAGATTGTGAACTCCTTTACTGGCAAAATTATATAACTATTACAAAAAAGGGAGAAATAAAAAAGGATGGCAAGCAGCTGTTCTTGGTGGCAAAATCTGATCAAGGCATCTGAGCCCTCTGCAGCCCTCAGGAACAAGGACAGGCGTTTCTTCCAGTGCCTTCGGACTGCACCTCTTGTGTGTGGTCACCTGGACTTGCATCAGTGTTTGTCAGGGAGAACTTCCCTCCAAATCTCCTGCCAGGCCCTCCTGGGGGGCACAGTGACCCCAGGGGCACTTGGGTGTGCTTCTGCCTTGGCCCCATCCAAGACCTGCTGGAGAGAGAGTCCCTCTGGTCGTGTCCATTGGCTCCCCAGACTGAAGAGAAACAACGGGGTCCTGCGTATTTTAGTACAACCTCCTGTCCTGTGCTTAGTAACAGGGAGCAAAAGAAAACATTATTGTCCTCAGCTAATCGCTTCTTTGTGGCAGACTACACTTCAAAGACAATTTAGTCTCAAGTGCATCTCAGCAGAGAAAAGCCCCATATTATCACTGATTTTTTAACCCCCCCTATTTCCAGCCACGCCAGACAAATGAATTCCACACGACAGAACCTCCACACGTGAAAGTGAAATTGGTTTGGTCAGGGGTTTGGTTTTGTTTTGTTTTGTTTTGTTTTTTTTAGAGTAGTGTCTTAACGAGGTGTTTAGTTTAGCACATTTGGCTCCTCCAAATTACCTCAAGGGGATTCATATGTTAACGAACTCCACAGCTGTTGTTTGTGAAACCAGCCTCGAACAAGCAGAGCATGTTGCGCAAAGATTTAAATGCTCTGTTGGAGAGGTCACTGCATTCCTTTGTCTGCTGTCGGTTCTTAATGATGAGCCTGCTACTTAATTTTAAGCACTCAGCTCATTTTTCTTGCGGCATCGAAGAGTTGCAGGTCGGTTTGATTTGGGATCGAACGCCTGGGTCGACGAAGGGAAGCTGCAATCCAGGGCTGACCTGATTTTATGCGACTGATGAAACATTTGAGGGTGGGGAAGACTGGTGATGAAGTTTCAGGCTTCGGGAGGTGGCCTGAAGAGGCTGAGTTGAGCAGAGAGAACGTTTGCAATGATAATTGTTTTATAAACATGCCCTGATATGCTTCAAAAGCTTTGATTCTGAATTTCTTAAATTAGGCTGGCTTTGCTCCTGGCAAGCAATAAACTGTTTTCATTTTAGATGTCACTTTACATTTAAGGAAATTAATAACTGGGAAAGGAAAAAAAAAAAATCCTCTTTGCTAAGTAAGGGCAAAGAATGTGTTTCCTTTATTTCCATTCAAGGATCAATTAAAATTAGCAGAACTCCTGGATTTTTAAGGGCCAGTGGGACAGAATTTATATCCTAGAAGAAGAATCCCAGTTCTCACCATCTCATGGGAAGCAGGATGTGTTGGCCGTGCTCTGTTGTTCCTGGAACCCGCCTGGTCACAACGTGATGTTGGAAAACCCCATGGGCAGCTGGTTGTCCAGAAGATTTGGACCAGGGATTGCTGTTTCACAACCTACCCACCCACAGCAAATTCCATGTCATTCTTGCTCACAGATCATTTCATCACCTCAATAATTGTGTTTGGTTTCCTTCAGGGGTTTTATCACGGAAAATAAGCTCCATGATTGTTCACTAACATCAGAGCAACCTCTGCTGGTTGGTGGAGATGGAGCTCTCGGCAGCAGGATTTCATTTTCATATATCAGGCTTTATTCCCTCCCTTGAAGGCATCAGCATTTCAGCATAAGGGATGATATTTTGCCTGGAATTTAGGTAGAATGTAAAAGAGATGTCCAGCTGGAGCACTGCCAATTCTGAGCGCTCCATATTGGCTGAGATCAGTGGTTCTTGTCAAAGCAAATGCAAATGTGGAGCGACTTTCTTGCACACAAAGCAAGAATTTCATCTAAGCCTCCGTGACACGGTTCTGAAAACATAATTAAGCTCAGATGTGAGAATAAAACCTTGGCCTTGCTGAAGACAGAGAGATTACCAATTACTGTAAAGTGGGTTTTTTGGTGAATCAAGTTTTCAGAAAGATCTGGTGTTGCTAGAAGAGTCCTTCTAAAAAGAGAACAGTCCATGTCAGGTGAAAATGCAATAATTTTTTACCAAAGTCCTTGTATTGCTATTTTACAGATGGAAAACTGAGGCTCAGTGCCCCTGAGACCTGGTTCTCCCAACTTATTTAGCTTGGGAAGAACATGGGATCAGTGCAAGCTCAGAGTACAGTCAGTTTTCAAGACTATGGGACACTTTGCATCTCATGACATCAGAGAGGGATTGTTGGGATGGCAGTTAATGTCACCCACAGGCTGTGCTCAGCAAATGGTCAAGGAAGTGGGTTAAAATCAGCCCTTCCCTGAAAACAAACTGTTGGAAACCATCCATGGACAAGCTTTTCAATTAAGCAGATGAGCTGGATGCAAACTGATAAACCAAATTCCTAATGTTAGAGTCAACCCTTTTCCATTTGCAAGCCCCACTTCCAAATGTTCTTTGAATGGGGATAGGTGGAAAATGGTGGGATTTTTGCTTAATTTTTGTGGCTAACTCTGGGTAATGGAAGCACACTGAATGCAGCCTGCAGGCTGTTCTTTGGACACGATGAATATTCAGTTCAAAAATATTTGTAATATGGTGAATAAGAGGCTGTTTCCTTGCTCAGCATGGAGCTGGAATGACTGCCAGTCAGGAATGAAGTCACCTTCCATTTCAGGCTCTTTCAGTGAAGAAGGATGAGATTTCCTGTGGATCTGGATTTGTCACGTATGTTCCCAAGGAAATTATTGAGAAAGCCAACATTTCTGGAAGGTGGAGGGCTTGGAAGTGCATTTACACCCTCTTCACCATCGTTCAGCCCAGCTGCTTGTGTTCAGTTGATGAGAAACCCTCTCCTCCAGGGCACAGCTCCTGTCCCCAGTGTGGCTCTCTCGTCTCCCAGGACATGACAGGCTTTTCCATAGGGAGCTGGGATTGGGTCAGCAGAAACCACTAATGATTTCAGGAACTCCAAGCATTTCACCTTGTTCATTCACAGATTCTCCAAAATACATTAACAGAGGTTAGAGGTTCAGGAGGGGGTGGATGGATGGATGGCAAATACTTGGGGTTCACCAATACTCCTAAAAGTAGAAACCCCTAGCCATGAGAGAAGGACTTCCTTTCAATATCTAAGCAACAAAATTAGGTGTTACTTTAATGACTAATTTCTAGATGGTTCTAAGATACTTTTAACAAGAAAGCAAGCAAAAAGCTGGTGACATCTGAAGGCACTGCAAGTCCTGTAGAAAGGAACTTTGTCAAGTCCTTAAGGAACACATTTAGTGCAGTCACCTCACTTGTGGCCATTTCACAGAGCAGCAACACACACAGACATGTCCCATTTATGTGGAGCAGCCCTGACTTTCTGAAATGGTTGTTAGACCCTTGTCAGACCCCTTTAAATACTCCCTGACACGTCCCCACTCATGCAGTGCCATTTCTGATAAAAGCCCAACTCTTTTCCTGTATCAAAATGCACTTATTGTGCAGTAATTCAATGACATAGCTCTTCCTTTTTATGAGCTCTGAAAATATCTCATTAAGAGTTTCACAAATTACCACAATAACTTCTGCTGACGCGCTCGTTCGTTCTCATCGCCGGAATAAATCCGGTCGACAACTTGAACGGAGCAAAGCGGGGATTTCCCAGGCTGTGATTGAGCGCTGAGCTGCTCTCAAAAACACCTTGATGTCATCTCCAGCTTGAAGGTTCGATGGAGGCAAGGTGGGAGATGCCGCTTCAGACGAGCTGGGGTGGGAGCTGAGCATCCTGCACGGAGAAAACTGCGGAGATGTTTTTCCTCCCCTCTCGGATCTACGGTTTCAGCACTCTTCGCCATCTGGTGAAACACTTCAGAGAAGAAAACAGTTTTGCAATGTCTAATTTTGCCATGTTTTTGGAACATTATTGTAATGATCTTTGTGCCATTTGAGTATGATTACTTGTCCTCCAAGGCTTTTCCTGTTTACACTTAAATAGTACTGGAGCGTGGCCAGATACGCTCCAAATGAAACGCTACAAAATATTACATTTTTATCATAAAGGCTTAAAAGCAACATTTACAATTAGGGGACACAGCCTGTGCTTTCCATTCTGGTAGGGTTGTGGTTTTGATCTTTTTGTTGTTGTTGTTGTTGTTGTTTTGATCTTATTGTAGTGGTAGATAAATAAAATTAATTAAGCAAGCATAATTAGCAGTTAAATTTTACAAAATCCCGAAGAAATGGAGGGCCTCATTCAAAGCGGCGGTAAATGGTGTAAATAATTAAGTCAAATTGTTTTCATTTTCATGCTGCATATTGTTTCCTTCAGCATGTAATGGTACAAGGCAAAGTGTATGCAGTGCTAGAACTACACAAATAATAGATAAATTTATTCATAACCGCTGTGTGGATTGTAATTAGAAGTTCACTGCAGCAGTGTCTATAGCAGGGGTCTGTTCCTTTTCTTTAGTTCCTGTAAATATTTGCCTGAGTGAATTTTTGCTTTGAAGAATGTAGGCAGAAGGAGAACATGAGATAAAAGTGTTGCAAAATCATCTTTGCTTCTTGGTTTGAGCGGCATCCAGGGTCCCAGGAACATCCAGTCCAAGGTCTGTGTCCTCAGCATGGACCAGGAAAGAGAGGTCCTCTGCCTGCAGCAGGGCTCTGGGTTGGGTGTGAGATGAGTCTTTCCCTCCTTTCACTGCTGAATGCCCTAAACAGAGCTTTTCCAACCAGGAGATACAAATTACTTGGCAGAGCCTGCCAATAAAGCCACTGAACCTCAGGGCTCCAGCAGTGATGAACATGGAGCCTGGCAAATGCAATGACTGTGCAGGGTAAATACAGCGTGGAATACAAGTGGAGAATGGGATTGGTTTGGTTCAGGGGTGGAGAACTTTTCCTCAGTGAGCTCATTCCAGTGCAGAGCTGTGATAATCCAGGGAGGATGGAAGCTCAGGACCCCTCTGGGGTCGGCTCTTGCCATGGCACAGCTTTTTGAACACCTGGTAGTGACCCTGAAAAGCACATTTGGTGAAAAGGCCACAGCAGCAGCTCCTGGGCTGAAACCTGTTCGTGTAAATACCTCTCAGCTTATTTTGGGCATAGTACAAATTTATGACAGTTACAGCTTTGAAAATTCAGGGGCACAGAGAAGAGGGTGAAACCCACTGTGTAACTCTGCCACTCAGCGTGTTCTCAATGCATCCACACTGAATGAAATCAGGGATAGCTTCAGGATTACCTGCACTCCCTCAGGTTTGAGGGACCTTATTCTGCCCTGATGAGTCCTCCTAGATCCTATTAGTGTTATTAAGCCCTAACTTGAGTGGCAAAAGAGGCTGTAGCACTGCCAGCAGCTCTCACCAGCAGGTAACAGGCACCTCCATCATCTGAGCACCAGGCACTGCACACCAAGCTCTGGATGGGGGTCAAAAAGGCAGACTCCTCGGGGCTTCTAATTCTTCCCGTGTTCTCCTAGCCCGAGGGCGAGCTGCAAAACAACAGCGGAGCTCTCCTTCACCTCTCTGCAGTGGAGAACAGCTTCTGCATAGCTCTACTGGCCTCTGCTGCCAGCACGGCAGAGGAGGCGAGGAGCGAGGTTTGCCACATCCCTGCTGCTCCGGAGGGCCTCCTGATCCCCGAACGAGAGCTGGAGGAAAAACCAATCTTTCATCTTCACCTTATTTCCATGCTTACAAATAAAGGTCAAGGCTCCTGCGCTGTAGCCGGCGCCGTACGAGCTTTGAACAAGCAGCCTGAAATGCGGTTGTAATTAGTTTCCTTTCAATCTTGATGTGAACAGTGATCTTAAAATGCCAGGACTGTAGCAGTGCATATGATTAACAAGCACACAGAAAGGCAGTCTATGGAAAAATATGGAGAGAAAGGAACAAAATGCAAATGTTGCACTGCTTTAAATTTTATTATCCTCCCAGCTCTTCATAAAGTGCTGTAGACACCGTTTGATTATATTTTTAGTCTGGGGAATTAATTTTTAACTAGGGAACTCGTTTTCTGTCTTATGATTGCTCTTCTCCTCAGTGGCCTGTAGGTCTGAGCTAAAAAATCACAGTTTTAATTGAGCTAATGATGCCCAGAACTCAAATTAATCTCACTTCTGTGTGTGTCCTGCCATGCAATATGTGCTACAGCTGCAGGCAACGTGGGCATCTTTTCATACCCACCATTTCCCCAGCAGGCTGAGGGTGTAAGTCCTAGCCAGGGGTAAGTCTCCTGTGGTTGTCACTGCCTGGGAGAGTCCTTGGAGGTGGCTGATGTCTGTGCAACCAGTGGAGGGGAAGGAAGAACAAGAGAACCAGTGACATTTCGTGGTCACTTCTCTGCTTTCACCTCAGTTGTCTTGAGGGCATGACTGTAACTTGCAGGAGAGCTCAGGGGACAGTGAAGGTGAGCTCTGAGCAGTGTGATCCAGCCACATCTGCTGGCAACCCCTGGTCCAGCTCCCACCTGCACCCAGGGATGGGTGGGAACTGCTCCCAGAGAGGCAGAAATTCCCTTACCCAGCAGGGCTTCTCCTCCCCTTGGAGCAAAAGAAATGGGAAAGGGAGAGAAAAAGAAGAAATTATACAGAGAGTATTTTGCTTGTGGAACTGCCATTTTTTCTACCTGGGAAAATGGTATTTTTTTTTCCCAACTGCCAAGAAAATTCACTTTCTCAAAATACAGGTCTTTAAAAAAAAAAAAAATCAGGGAAAGAATAGAACTAGAGGGCTGTGGTACAGCCACAGGGAAGATAAAAGAAAGAAGACTCCACAGAAGAGGAACATGGTTTAACACTCTGCAGGTGGCCATGGCTCTCACACCTTCAGGCTGGCTCGTCCTGCAGCATCCTGACCAGACATGCAGCAGTGTCTCAACCCTGACACTGCTGTCTGAGCCAAAACTGCTCACCAACACCCACCCAAACATTATTTATTCTCTTCTCCAAACGATTTGGGCTTAGATACCCCTGTCTTAGAGCAGCATGATACCTGGATCCACCCGAGAGTCCCTTACTCAGAGTGTGTGGTAACATCCCAAGGGCACAGCTCTGCTTGGTTGTCTAATCCCACTATTTTGTTCTCTCACTCTCCACGCTGGAACCCACTTCAAAGGGAATGCTGAAATTCCAATTGTTTCTTGTCAAAAAGTTTCCGTTTTGTGATGAAAGATGTGACCTTTCTTTTTGGGTTGATTAGTAAACATGAGGTAAAAAGCAGGAGCACACCAGTGTTAACTTGATACTGCCACAGGCTCTGTGCATCAAATATTTTTGCTTTACTCTGAGCCTCCTGTTAATGAGAAAAATATTCAAATCAAAGAAATGTGTTTCCTTCAATTCTCTTCAGAGTGTAATTTGGAGCTTCAGAATAGCATGCTCAATTATGTCTGTTTTATTCCTAAATTAGAGGAAAAAAAAGCTTCAGAATATTATTGAGTAAACCTCTTAGCAACTGTTAAGCAACACCCAGTATTAATTGTTTAATCACTCTTTTATTATTTTTCATCAGGTAAGAAGAGAACAGCACAGTTGCTCCAAGGATTTCTTTCCACCTTGGCACACCAGACTCCAAAGCCAGCACAGGGCACGATGCCTTTGCCTGGGCAGAGGGGCAGAAACCTTTCCTTAAAAGCTGCTGGAGGGGTTGGTGTCACCAGGAGCAAGAAGCAGCATTTTTTCCATGTTCTGGTGCTTCAGTAAAGGGCTGGTAAAGGCTCACAGCCAGACTGAGCAGCAGGGATGTGCCAGTGCTGCAGAGCCAGGAGCCCATGGAGGCCTCTCAGCATGGACACGGGACCACTGGGTATTGGACTTTGTCGGGTTTGCTTCACTGAGAGCTGCCACTTACCTTTTGGATAATGATTTATTCATCTCAGCTCCCCCTGGCTGCTGGGCAAGCCTCCCACCCTGCCATCACACTGCATTTTGGGGAGCCTTGTGGTGCTGGGGCTTCCCCTCCCGGAGCTCCCGCTCCGCGTCCCTGCGGAGACACAACCCACGCTCGGCTTGTGGGCACGGCAGCGGGAACTGCTGAGTGCTGATGCAAGATCCAGCCATCCCCACATCTCCAGCAGACTGCCCGAGGCAAGGAGGCTCCTGAGGTTTCCTGGGGAGAGTGAACAGCGTCAGCACCAAGCGCAGCGGTAGCGGCGGCTCCCGGGGCGAGCGTGGGCAGGGGATTCGCCGGGCGTTTGGGGGCATGAAAAGAGCCCTGCTTCCCCAGCTCCCCACGAGCCAGGCTGAGTTCATTCCTCAGATATAACACCTGCCAAAAGCTTTGGCTAAGGTGGCACAGACCAAAGGAAACTCATTGTTAGTATTCCTTTTTCTTCTTCTTCTTCTTCTGAGCAGGTTGAATTATCCATATTTAATTTTCACAAGTTATATTATCCATAGGTTGGATATTAGGAAAAGGTTGGGTGATTGGGCACTGAACAGGCTCCCCAGGGCACTGGTCACAGCCCCAAGCCTCACAGAGCTCAAGAAGCATTTGGACAATGTCCTCAGGAATAGGATGGGATTTTTGGGGTGGTGCTGGGCAGGGCAGGGAGTTGGACTGGGTAATCCTTGTGGGTCCTTTCCAATTCAGGATATTCTATCCTATGAATTGCTGCCTTAATACATATCTTGTATTTTGACATTTATAGCTTTCTTGTCAGACTCCTGCAGTGTCTTGGCTGTCTTCTTGTTCTTTTCTCTAGGGTTGTGCCTACCACTACATATCCATCCTGGTGGGATCCAGGGAATCACTGGGCAGCTTGGTCCATATCTCTGCCTCCATCACCATAAGGAGGAGAGGCTTCAAATCCACATGCAAATTTGTTCATACTTCAGCAGCCAGGCCTTGTGCCCTTGAACTACCTTCACTAGCAGCCCTGAAGCCCTCCTTGATGCCTGGAACGAGATTCTCTCATCCCAATTTCTGTCAGGACAAATTGTGCCAAAACACACCATGGTTCTGGAGATGTCCCAGACCTGCCCCATGGGTTGGAAATGGTCATCTAGGTCAGGACTGATATTTATAAAAATCCTTGTGTGACAAGGCCTGCACCTCAGCTGCCTGGCTTCTGCTTGATTTCTTGTCTTCATGAGCATGTGCTTATTTCCTAAACTTTTTCAGAAGTATTACCAGAAAATTGTTCCTCCAAGAGCAGTAACGAAGCCTCAATATTTTTAAGTCAGTCAAAACAACTTTGCCACACTACAAAATACAGGTGCCTTCAGGGATAAGCTTCTTGCTACCTAAAATAGTCTTTCTCTAAACATAAATACAGAGGCCAAACACTTTCCTGTGCAGTTCACAATTTGGCTCATTTAAAAGCTGTTTACAGCAATTCCATCAGCTGTCAGTTGACAGCCCTTCTGTACCAAGTATGTGATTAATCCCTCATGTGAAAGCCACGAGTTGTGTCAAAATAAATGACAACCAACTGGTCCCACTGCTCCCAGAAGGGAAGGGAATGCCGAGAAAGAGGAGCAACAACCACCAACAGGACCAGCACCAGGTACACAACAAGGATCTTCCAGATTTACGTTGGAGGCTGTTCCTCGGTGAGTTCACATCCATCTGTCAGCTCCATTTGGGACCACGCTCCCTGATTCGAGCTGATAGCGAGGATCTGAGTCAAATAAGTGGATATTTGTGCTAAATGTTGTCTGTCACATCATGTTACTCCACTTTGGGTTCACCACACGTACGTCCACGATGTGGTGTAGCGGCAAGATGCAGCTCACACGATTTAATGGGACATGACAGAAAACATTGCTGCAGCTTTTGGAATAAACACCTGCTTTTAGTGCTTATTTCATCTGCTGGAAGCAATTTTTAAAACATGTAACCTGGGTCCTGCCAAAGCACATTGAACTTTGCTGTCTGTGCATCTTTCCAAAATAACTGCTTTGTTCGGTTTCCTTTATTTCAGAGCCACGTTCTGGCTTTTTGAGATGGCTTCTGGGGCTAGCTTTTTTTGTGGTTTTGTTTTGTTTTGTTTTGTTTTGTTTGGGGTTTTTTGTGGGGTTTTTTGTTGTTGTTTTGGTTTTTTGCGGGTGTGGGTTTTTTTGTGGGTTTTGGGGGGTTTTTTTGTTTGTTTTGTTTTGGGTTTTTTGTTTGGTTTTTTTTTTGTTTTGTTTGTTTTTTTGGGGTTTTTTTGTAGTTTGTTTGTTGGTTTGTTTCCTGTTTGTTTTTTTTGAAGGGGAGGGGGGTGGGGTTTTTTTGTAGTTTTTCTTTTCAATAAAAGGTAAAAATTAACTCACAAAAATTGTGAGAAACAGAACCAATCTAAACTATGACCGGAGACACGTATGGAAAAAGTTCTTATCATGTAAGGAAAAACATAAGATCTATTAACAGCAAAGAACATATTTACCCACAAGTAAAAACAATAACAGGAACAAAGTTTAAAAGACTTGTTTTTTCCTTCAAAAACTTCAACAGAATGTTATAAGTGAAAGCTGGGTAAAAATCATCTCTCCTTGGAGAAATATGGACACAGAAAAGGCAAACATTTAACTGTTGATTTTGTACTTGCAGATGTAGGTTTTGTGAATGGGAACATTTGCAATAAGGAAAGCCAAGGTTTGGGTGACCCCTTGTAGAATTTTGGTTCATTATCCTTGACCTGACTGACAGAAATATTAGCAGTGGGAAATAAAACTGCTGGTTTAGTTATTTAAAAAATGAAGTCATTTATTCATATTGAATATATTCTCTCCTTCCAAAAGTCCTTCCATCTGTGGGTGAATGCGTGACAGCTAATTAAATTGGCAGCCAGAGCTCTGTTCTTCTCATTTGGAGGACCTTCATCTCAAGCTAGAAGAGTTTCATCCTCCAGGACCTCGTTACAGAAGGGGGAAAGGGACTGAAATGCAAGTGAACTTCAGCTAATCATGTCACAGAGTTCAAAACGGGGATGGATCTCATAAAAAAAATAAAAAAAATAAATAAAATAAATAAAATAAAATAAAATAAAATAAAATAAAATAATAAAATAATTAAAGGTGGATCACCACAGTCTTGTCTTCAAAAGGAATAAAACTGGTCCCACGAAGCCAAAGAGGTGGTTTCTGCAAGCTGGAGCTGGCAAGAGGCGTTTGGCAAGTCCTTTGTGGACCTGGAAACTGCTGGTGGAAAGCCCACAACTGTCACTGGGTACCTGTCAGGCTTCCACCACCTGTCCTTCTCACCCTTGCCCAGATGCCACCTTGGTACACGGCATGCAAGCCTGAGGCTGAATTCCAAAGAGGCATCACGGATCTTGTCCTTCGTTAGGACGAGAGGAAACGGCCTCAGGTTGTGCCAGGGGAGGTTCAGCTTGGATATTGGGAAAAATTTCTTCACAGAAAGGGTTGTCCGTGCCTGGCACAGGTTGCTCAGGGCAGTGGTGAAATAACCGTTCCTGGAGGGATTTAAAAGCCGTGTGGATGTGGCACTTTGGGACGTGGGTTTAGTGGTGGGTTTGGCAGTGCTGTGGGAATGGCTGGACTTGATGACCTTAAGGGTCTTTGTCAAGCTAAACAATGGGATTTGATGACCTTACGGGTCTTTGCCAAACTAAATGATTCCACGATTCCCTGATTCCGTAATTCCGTGATTCCATAAAATGCAGGTTGGGGTTGTGGCCAGTGAGGAGGAGAGGGCCTTCAGCACTGCAGGGAGGAGGGGAACAGGCTGATGATTGTACAAACTCCGTCCTCCACAGGGTCTGAGCTGCTGTGTCAGTGGTGTGGTGGCCCTGGGGACCCCTGGGGTCCCCTCTGCCCGTGGGCAGCCCTGGCAGGCAGTGGGATCCTGGTGCTCCTCATCACCGAGGGGGGTTACATGGGGCTGCATTTTTTTTTCCTGATGCAAAGCACCTTTTGACCTTCAGTAAAAATTAAACACCCAGAGGGATTGGGCAAAGCAGATTTTAATTTCTAATAGGAGCGAGGACACTGTTGCCTGTATTTTTACAAAGGCCCCGAAGAGCTCCCTTGCTATGTGAGCAAGTTGGCAATGTATTTTAATGTATTTATTTGATTATGCATTCATTCTTTCATTCATTCATCTATTCAGTCATTCATTCAGACACTTGTTCATTCATCCCTGTCCCTTTGCAGGAAGAGAACATAAGCCAGCAGTGGATACTTCACTGTCCTGATTTACAGCGACGCCTCTGAGTTTGTATCAATAAATCTCTTTGGCCCTCCTCAATCCAGCATTATCCCTCATTAGTGCCTGGGATTTAAAAAAAGGATTAAAAATAATATCAGATTATAGATAGATGCATAGATATGTGTATTGGTTGCAGGGCTTTGATTAAAGAGCTGGGTTGCTGGTGGGTTTTTTCCCTTCATTTAGGTTCTCTCATATTCACAGCTCTCAGGCCTTGCAATTATTTCCACAAACAATCCCTGACTTTTTATTAACTGACCCAATAAAGTTACCATCAGTGCTGGACAATAAGGTTCCCACTGCCCTCCCACTGCCTGCCCAGTGTCTTTTGATGTCAAGGGCAGCTCCTCTAAGCCTGACTCTCACCTTTACCTTCCTTACCTTGCCTCTGTGGCATCTTCTGGTATTTTTGCCTCTGAGAAATATTTATTCAAAATAACCTTTCTGCAGGGGCCATCCCTACTCCAGTTGTGACTATAAGGGTTGTTTTTAGAATTGCCTCCCCATCACTGTTTGTCTCAGCCCAAATATGCACATTTTATCTGCTTCTGAGTATACCTTAAACAAGGGAATATATCCTCTGAAGAGGAATAAAATGAAGGGGAACTGCTGCTCAAGTTGGGATTACTCACACTCTAAGAACTCCTGGAACAATTTTTCTCCCATATCTCTGAAATACCCTTAATTAATCTTGCAGACAACTTGCAACATAATTGTGTCCCTAAACTGTTAACCTTGAAAAATATTTGACAGTGTACTAACATCTCCGAAACCTGTTATCATAGGGAATATAATAAATCCATAAATATCCTGGTTTCTCTCAAAAGGCCCAGAATAATTCTTTGTTGTCAGTCTTTTTTTTTTCCCCCCTTAGTTTTATTTTTTTACCTGGTGGTAGGAGATGCAGGAGAGAAAGAGGGCATGTTAGTTAAAAAAAAAAAAAAAGGCAATTTGGA